AGAGAGAGAGAGTTAGAATTCTTTGACTTCCAAGTTTGCTTAGAGTAGCTTATGTATGGATTACTGATTGACATAAGTTAGGAACTATTGATTGGCGACTCATGATTGACTATTTTGTACTCGGATTACTCTGATGAACAACACTCAGTACTAAAGATCACCTCTTTGGGCTAGAGCAAAAAGCCCCCTTTAGGGCTTGGACAAGACTTAGCTAACAACAAAACTCATTTGGTGTTTGCTCGCTATTTGCGATTGTGGGATAAGAAAAAGAACTATTTCTTTCTCCGCTAACTCTCTTTACAATGTGAGGAGTTCACAACATGTATGGACATGTGTAGCCACTTGGCTTTCTCTCGTAAAGAAAGCCAAAGGCGCCCCAAAACAACCTCAAAATACATCTTTCAATATGATATGGATGTGATCTTACTGTGATTGTTTAAGGTTGAAGCCTTGTACAAACCATAGTTATAGGGATCTCCTACTTGGTAGGCCTTCCCTTCTAGGATCTCTATTTTGTCGCTCCACGAATGGGTCTCTCAAGATCTTGATTTTTAAATTTTGGGATCTCGATCCCCACTGATAGGGATCCTAATTCCTACTGTTGGGGATATCGATCCCAACCTTAAAGACCAAGAGAATAACCAAACTTATGATTTTCTTTGTTTTATGGCTAGCTAGCAGCACAACTATTTTTTAATAGAGTTGCATTGCTTGCTTGCTATCAATAATGAGATCCCTACTTTAAAGATTACACATATATACTTTCAGGTTGGTAGCAAGATCCCCCAAAAGTTGTGATCAAAATCCCAAAAGGTCGGGATCAAGATCCCCAAAAGGTTGGAATCCCAGCCCTTATCATATGAGAATCTCAATCCCTAACACGTGCATTATACAGACCGCTTTCCCAACCATAAGGATCTTCTAGCATTTCACGATCCCTCGCTCCCAATCCCGATCCCGGTACCGTTCCTGCTCCCATCCCTACAACTATGATGCAAACCACACTCATATATAAGGTTATTCTATTATTCACAGCCCTCAAAATACAAGTGATGTTTAGAAAGGGGTGTGAATGATATATTAACCAAAAATAACCTCTCTAGAATAACTCGTGCATGTGTGTGTGTGTAGCCATAGACATTTGATTGTATAACTTCTTCTACCCCCATTTTTTGGGGTTAGCCATGTATGTCGGGCCCAATTTTTGGGCGTGGCCCAATTTACAGTGAGGTTACAAAATATTGGGCTTATAGGTATACCTGATTACAAAGAGATTATCTACTATGTGTACCCTTTGTGGTCTAGAGCAAAAAAGGATATGGATCGGGTTTGGTCTTATACTTGGGCCCTAGCTCCATCCTTCGTCAGGAGATCGGCGAACTCGTTTGACTTCCTCGAGATATGCTTCCAGAAGACGACCATATCCCTGCAAATGTAAACAATCTCATCAAAGATCGAAGCGAGGTACTATGGAAGTGTTGACCTCCCTGTTGGCCATGACATAATGTTACGTGCATCTCCCTCCACTGGAAGGTGTCGTCCCCAAGACTGATTGAAGCTTTTAAGGCCCAATAGCAAGGCCATGGCTTCGGCGTACTGAGAGTCTTCATGGCCCAGGTGCTCGGAGTAGGTGAACAGAATATTGCAGAGATGTTCTCTGAAGACACCACCACCCGCAGGGCTGGGGTTCCCCAGAGAACACCCATCAAAGTTAAGCTTGATGATGCCTTCTGGAGGAGGCAGCTAGTTATTTGTTCTTTGCACCTTTCGTGGCTGGTGGTACAGGATATTTTCCCATTGATAGAGGAAAGTGTTTGCAGAGATACCTGTAAAGATCATATGGTTGGAGGCCCAGAATGTTACTAAGGCCGTAACCTTGTGAAAAGTGTTGAGCCTTGGGTATAATGGCCTTGGAAAATCCTGGTGTTTTTTTCTACCTATATCACCCATATGGTGGCTGCCACGGCAGCCTTCCATAAGGTTCGTCCAACCTTCGGCCAATTTGATGCGTGGTCCGAGGATATAAGGTCCTTGACCGTCGGGGGTGTAACCCATTGGAAGCCAAACAACTGCAACCCAAAGGTTGTGAGCTAGGTTATAGTGAATGAAGAGGTGAGGATTCGATTCCTCCTTAGCCAAACACATGGCACATCTGTTGGGGATAGGAACCCCTTTCTTTTGAAGCTGGTCTACAGTGAGTGCCCTTTGGGAGCACGCCATCCAATTGAAAGTCTATACTTTAGGGGGGGCTATTGTGGACCAAACTTGAGATGGGATAGAGGATGGGTTAAGAGGGAAGGTGGGGGGTTGGATAAGGTTTTTGTAAAAAGAGGCCACCGAAAAGGTACCAGAGGGGGCAGGAGAGCATACCATCAAGTCCCTCCCTTGTGTTGAGATGAAAATGCGATGCAAAGCTCCCGAGAGTGAGAGGAAGTGGTTGCTTTCCTCTTCTGAAAGTTATGTTCTGAACGAGGGGTTCCACACTCTTTGGCCTCCCGCCAGCACCATTTCCTCAGCAATGGTGGAGTCTTTGTTTGCGGCGATGAAGTAAAGGGATGGAAAAAGGTCCCTTAGAGGCTTGTGCCCTAGGCAAAGATCTGGCCAGAAGCGCACTCTTGTTCCTTCTTTTTGATGAAACCTGATGAATTTTTTGAACAGTGAGAGGGAGGAGGTGAACAACTTCCACCCTTCTAAAGCCTTGTTCGGAGGTCTCCTCTCAGGCATCCAAGTTCCTTTAGAGATCTTATATTTGCTGCGTAGGACCTGAGCTCAAAGAGAATCAGTTTGAGTGGCTAGACACCACCACCATTTCCCTAACAATGCCAGGTTATGTTTTCTTAGGGTCTTGATCCCTAGTCCTCCCAGATGTTTGGATAAGTAGACTTTATCCCAAGAGAATTAAATGGTATTTTGTTCTCTTTGCCTGTCCCGACCAGAGAAAATTCCTCATGAGTTGTTCTAGGCTGTTGGCCATTGAGGTTGGCATATGGAAGAGAGACATGAGGTAAACAGGAGCATTAACCAACGTTGTTTTGATCAAAGTTGTATGACCTGCCTGAGAAAGGTATCTCCCTTTCCATCTTGCCAGACGCTTGTTGACCTTGTCTAATACGTGAGACCAATGTCTCTTTTTGGGTTTTCCCAATCCCAGAGGTAGACCAAGGTACGTTGTGGGTAGGTCCTCAACTATGCGTTACCAATTTGGGATAAGCTCTCTGATTTTAGCGTTGATGAGTGCCACACCCATCATTTTTTATTTTTCTAGTAGGAGATTGAGTAGCTCTCTTTGTCCTTTAAAATTGACTTTCTGTCGGCTCTGAGTGTCTGCGAGTAGGAATCGGTGTGCCAGTCCTTCAGGGCCTTCATGTTGGAACCCCATGATCCGAAATATTTCCTTCATTTTGTACAAGTCTTTGTTGTTCCCATCCCCGTCGACCCCGTCAGTGTTGTCATTCTCCGAGAAGGGAGAGATGGGCATGCTAGGTTCCTCGGGCAACTCCATGACAGGCGCTGGAAGTGTGAGAGGCATGTGGTTGGAAGGGTAAAGGTCTAGAGGTAAGGTAGAAAGTGGTTAAGAGATAAGGCGTAGGGGGAGACGGGGAGATAAACAAAGCTGGGGGATGCATGATGAGGCCAGGACTAGGCGGGGGGAGGGAAGGGAGGGCAGACGTGACAACTTGAAGGGGCCCAGCGTAAGTAGCAGGAACTACACTCAGTGTACCCTGGGCCAAGGTTGGGGAGGGTGGTGAGGGGGCATTGTTTAGAAGGGCTGAAAATTGGAGAGGGAGGGGATAAGGGCTAAAGGGGTGGAAGGATCCAAAGAGGATAGAAGAGGGGAGATAAGTAAGGAAGTGGTGGGATTGGGGGGGGCTAAGAGGGATGGTCCAAGGGTAATCGAGCGAGTAGTTGAAGTGTAGGGTTCGGACCTTGCAAATGTGGACTAGGTGGGGAGTGTAAGACAGATGAGGGGCAAGAAGAGAAGAAATCAAAGAAGGATCTAGGGGGGAGGGATCCGTGGAATGCATAACGACGATACCATAGGGGAGGAGTTGGTGTTTGTCCATTGCAGCAGCGAGAGAGGGGGGAATTGAAAACTGCAGGTTCAGGCTCTGCTGCTAGTTGTAGAGGAAGGAAGGTTAGAGAAAGAATGGGTGAGGAGGAGAGGGCACTATTTGGGGGGAGGAGCTCCAGGGGCTGAGAAGACTGAGAAGGAGGGGAGTTAAGGTCCAACAAAGTGGACTCCTACACTGGGTCCACTTGAAGGGGTGTGGAAGCAGAGTGAAGGTCAAGGTTCAGGGATGTCGGTGAGGGTGGCGGGAAACAAGGAGCGCCCACAGGGAGGGTAGAGTCAGCTGAGGGAGGAGGATGAGAGGGGTTAGAAAGAGGTTGGGTAGGATCTCGACGGGAATGAAAAGGCCACGTGCTATCGTCAGGGGAAGAAGGGGAAGGAGGTGGCACATCAAGAGGGGATGGATGAAGGGCGGGTAGGTAAGGGAGGCAGCTGGAGGAGGGGCAAGGGCGTTGACGAGCCGACAGGTGTGGGTGGCAAAAGCAGCAAGGGCAGAGGCGAGGGGAAGGAGGGTGACAGGTATGCAGGATGGGGCGGCGCGTGGTGGGATGTGGTGGTCGAGGGATGCTGATGGCAGTAGGGAGTTAAAGCTGACAACACATGGTACGAGCAGGGTCCTGTGGTTGGACGGGCCTATTGTCCGCTAGGTTGATTGGTTTGGAAGGGCTAGGTCTGTCGTGGTGGCTCGATGAC